TATGGGCCCATAAATATACGAACGCGTATTAATCTGAATTGCAACAATTATAAGTTTTCTCTTCCTCTTGAAAAATAAATTATTAAGAACAATACGGAACGCGTTCTTTGAAGGAGAAAGCTTTAATTATTGTCTTGATGGATTTAACAGATACTTCGCGCGACAGTCGCGCAGCCAGCGCACCTTTCCGAAGCGATTGTCACTGAAGGTCTGGACCGACAGAGAGGCTGCGCCACGGCCATACGGACCGCTTCGGACCTCCTAAGGTCGGATATTAATGAGAGGATATAGAGACGGCCACCTCACACCACTCCGGATCTCGGCAGCAGACTCACGGATCGTCTCTGATGGAGAGAGGTTACTGAGAGGCCTCCACCTCCTCCCACCTCCACCTCGTGAGATGAGAGCTGAAGAGAAGCACCGGCACAGAGGAGGAGTACGAGGTAGGGAGTACCAGGGAGGGTCTCCACCCTACGACGAGATCGTGGAGGGAGGACGTCGTCGGGTTACGAGAAGATGAGAGAAAGATGAAGGAGAGAGAAAGAGAGAGAGAGAGAGAAAGGGATAAGCGAGGGAGGTAAGAGGTAGGGAGGAAGAGGGAGGGACGGAATGAGAGACAGAGGGAAGGTAAAGAGGTGGGGGAGGAGGTGGCGGAGGACGAGGACGAGGACGACCAGGAGGAAACGGTGGTCGGGTAAGAGGCAGGGGCGAAAAAGGTGCGAGCGAGAGATGTATGAAGAGAGAAGGATAGAGAAACATACTGAAAGAGAAAGAGAGATAGAGAGAGAGAGAGAGAGAGAGGGGAAAGGAGAGGAAGGAGATCTGGACCTCGCGTAGGAGACGTTCAATACTGTAGCAACGACGCCGAGGCAGCGCCATTGGCTACCATTTTCTCTCTATACCTTCTAGGCATACACCTTGTACTCTATTCCGGTCTACTCCACTTTATTCCCGCTTCGCTTCCATGCCCTCTCTCTGTTTCTCACTTCCTTCCCCACCCTGTCCCTCTTCCTTGCTGTGCTTTCGCGCCGTTCGCGAGGATGGCATACTGGGACCGAGAAAGAGAAAAGGCTTTTCACCTTTCTGAATTCGTGAGGATCGAATAGGGACCAGAACGTTTCTTTTTTATCAGAATTACATAATTAGATGTATTACTGTGAAACATACTGGATTGATAAAAAAATTAATTTTTTTTTACTTTTATATATATATATATATATATATTGTCGAGGTATCTTACTCGTTTGGATTTATTTTTAAATTCACAAATACTATTTTATTTCTCTTTAATAAAAAATAAAAAGTTTAATATAGCATCTTTGATAAAGTATCTTGATAATGGCTTACATCTTATTTCAGTATGACTATTCTTGAAGTTTCAAATTGTAACTAATGGTATCAGTTATGATATCTCTACTGAACAATTTAATTAATTTTTTATTTACTTAAGGTCTCTGTATGCATTATTTTTCTATAGTTACATATTGGTATCATCTATATGAAATATACAATGTATTTATATAATATATATACATATATAATTTATTATAAGTTACAGTTATTTATTCACATTTATAACCAGAATACTCCACAACTCTGGGCTTGAGGATTGCGCTATACTTCGAGATCACTTAGAGTTCCACCCAATTAAACTCCTCTTAATGTGCGTGCGAGCACGTAATAATATCTATATTCACTTCCACTTCGCACCTCTGTAATTTTCATGTCTTGCCCTGTGTTGTTTGTTGCTGTATAACAATAACGCGTATCCCAATTCTCATATTCTAATTCTTATTTTCACGTCTAAATATTCTATACAAATATATATCTACTTTTGAATGTTTTCTATTTTTACATTCTTACAACATCATTGTTATGCAATAAAAATTGTTTGCATTCTTCTTTCAGAAGAAAGAGTGTGTCATTTCTCATCATCGCGGTTGTACAATTAACATCTAAAAAGTTTAGACTTGATACAAAACGTCGCAAGTAAGAAACTTTTCAAGTTTTTTCACAGACGAAATAAAATACGTTATTAGAAAACAAGCAACGAAGAAAAAAAGGGACTGTTGGTTTTCACTGTAAAAGTAAAAAGGTAAAAAGATATTCGGAAAAGAAGATACATTTAAAAGGTACCAATGCTATCCCGTAATCGACCGCGTCGTGCTTGTGAGATGCACTTTTCCGACCGGCAGATATATTTTTTATTTTGTCAAATTAACGGACGTTACTCATATATGCGAGTGAACAATGTGCATACCGTACTTTTGCTAGGTAATACTGCCATGGCTACATTGATATCCCGCGGGAATGGAAATAGTTGTAATTTTAATTAACCTGATGATTACGCCGCGCACTTTCGCCAGAGATCGCATATACAGCGGACGGTAATTTTGCTGTATGTACGGTAGATAAATATACAATCGCCGCGCCATACTAAAATACAATACTCTCTTGTGATAGTCCTCTTGAATGCACCGTTAATATATATCGTTATATTTCAGTTCTAAAAGGCAAAATATCGCATCTTCTTTATAATAATACCTTTTATTCACTCAAGAGTGGGAAGTAACGCGTTACTTGTTACCGGTTTTGTTCCTTTTTTTCGATAGCAATCTTTATTTTTTTTATCTATAAACTGTAACTGTAACGTCGTTACATTTTTTTACTAACGAATTTAGCCATTACTTTTATCGTTAATTTATAATGCTTTATTAATCCTTATAACTATTCAATAGATCGCATTATTTTTAATTGGCTAGAAGTACTTTTCAATAAAACTTGAACATCGAAAAATGTGTTGTGCTTCACACCTTAGACTGCATTCCGGTAATTACTGCTAATAAAAAAATCATTACTCTATAGTTCTATACATATGGTATATGTAACGTGAATTATAATGTTTAAAAACGTTTAATAAAAAGTGTAAAAACACCCCAGTTGTTTATTCTTGCGTTAAGTATATAATTATCTGAAATTTAATCGATTTAAAGCGTATCCAAAGAACCAAATAAATCTCTTGAAGGCGCAATCAAAATTAAAATAAATAATCTAAGATTTATTTCTAAAATATAACTACTCTTACGAGCAGTTATATAATGACTATCATGTTAAATTAACATTTCTCCTTCGCTTTTAAATCATTAAACTTTTCTCGTTTATTTGCGGTCTAGTAATCGAGACGCAACTATCTCGTTGGTATTTATAACACGTCGTCATCGCCCGATAACGTTTTTCAGGCAAATCGCAACAACTGCATCGCAAGCCTCGGGGCGCCCCTCCGTATATCGCCGCGGAGCAATCACGCAAATTAGCGTAATTCACATATAAAACTTTTGCTCTTTTTCTCTCTTGAACGTTACGTACGGTCCCCTCCTGTCCGTGCGCAGTCTCTCGTAGTTTTCTACAGATCTTAACGGCACGGATCTCGTAACGTGACTCGATAATTACCGCAATCACGGGGAGCGCCCTTTCGTTATTCCGGCCATATGCCGCGGTCGACCGGTACACCCCGAAGGTACGAAGGGCCCCCCGAACTACCAACTGTAAAACTTCCTCCCCAAATGGCGTTACATTCTTTTTCTTCTCAGTTCTCTCCGCGAGGGAATCTTCCCTCGAGGTGCCCCCAAAAACGAATTTCTACGCGGCAAGTGGCGTCTGTCCGATTTTGTGCTTGTCAATTGAAGCCTTCGAACCGTCTCGCGAGAAAAAAGTACACTCTGACAAACACTGGCAAATACGACTGCAGATTACCCCCGAAATAGGTTTGGTATTTACGATAGTATTCTTTCGTTTAGTTTTGTACAAACGACCTCCTGAGTACAAGGACCGCGAGTGAACCCGCTTAGCGATGATAAGAGAATAGATTTTTTTGGTTGATATAAAATATATTTTATTTAGCAAATGTTAACTCGCACAACAAAATTCTTGTACAGAATAATATATGATATTTTTGATCGAGTAAAATAAAATGTTACAAATATTTTAATATTAGTTAAACTGAATGATTCAAATTAATATCTTAGTAATTATATATTTCATAAAAGAACTTACAAAAATGTTGAAAATAAAATTTGTTCACCATAAGTGTTTTTTATTCGATGACATTTGGCGATGTGTCGGTTCATCTTCGTTACTCATTGAATATTAAGAAAGATAATGTTTGTGTCGACTTGTTATCAAATGAAAAGCATATAACGTAATAATTATATGTTACTAAAGATAGTCTAATTTTTTTTTTTTTATGTTTTTTACCTGCAATGTATCTTCATAGAACTCTTCTCCCTTTTATAAATTTTGTAAATACGACTAATTATAGAAATAAAGATTTTATGTCAAATCGAATAAAGGCACTTACATGAGGTAAATAATTGTTAAGCTCATGTAATTTTCTTATATAAGGCAGTTATCGCATGACATTAAAATTATTATTTTTGCAAGCAAAGCGATCTTGATAAAATATAATGCATGGAACTTAACAATTGTCTTTAGCGGAAAATTGGTCTTATCTTCTTAATGTTAATTTATAAATACATTTTTTGACGATTTTATAAATTATTCGGTAATTATTCTTAAAGAAATTAAATTTTGTGGAAAGTAGCTTGTTTAATTAATAGTAATGGAAGTTATGGATAAAATCTTATACTATATATATACCTATATGTAAAGCATTCTAAATAAGGTATAAAATCGTTATTTCAAAACATTACATCTGTTTTTATATCAAAAATATTTTGTTTCATAAAATAGTTGCATAATGTTTAAATTACGAGATGTAGTAATAATAAAAAAATATTTGTTAAGCTTTGTGTGTGTGTGTGCATATATAAAATATTAATTAATTCATAAATTGTATATTAAAAAATACATCGATAATCAATTAAAAAAATGCTTGTCTAAATAAAATAATAAATGGAATATACAATATTTATGCAAACAGAACGGTTTTCTCCTTTTATGTGTTTTCGAACTATTATTATATGTTTGCCATAAATTTTATTTTCAAGCAAGTTTAGTTATCTAGTTATCTATCATTATTTGCCATACCCTTACTTTATTTTCCGAAATAATGATCGATTCTTTCTACATAATAGTCATTAACGATTATTATTATTATTATATGCTCTCGAAGTCTCTTTCTCGCTATTTATCGCAAAAGTTTTTTACGACTTATCGGTATATTGTTGACCCAAGCTTGCCGAGCCGACAAGAATTCTTTGACTTTTGGGGGAACTGAAATAAGTTCGAATATGTGATTATGAATAACTATAAATATATATATAATGATAGAATATTTGATAAAAATTTGTAACAAATGCTACAGTAATATATAAATTATAATCAGGGTTGCCACAAATTTTTCATCCTAAAATTTCCTGATATTTTCCTGATTTTACTGACAAAATTTTGTAATTTTCCCTGACTTTCAATAATAAATATTTTGAAATATTTTTTATATTTTCATCCTGATTTGAAAATTGTTAAATATTTTGTTGATCGAGTAATTTAACATAACAGTGTAATTAAATGAATGTTATAATATAATATTATTAATACTATTAATAAATAATACTATTAATGTTGCTGATACTACATTTTATCGTTAAGTTAATAGTACTTTTTGTCTTTTCCTTTCATGTATGAACATGATTCTTTTCCTCTTCCTCTCTTTCTTTTTACTACTATACTTAAAATATAAGGAACATAAATCAATGAATACAGTTTCTTTTTTATCAAAATTATGATCTGTTTATTAAAATCTCAATCTGCTTATAAAAGTTAACATATTTGAAAGAAAAATCATAAAATTATAGAATAATATTTATTTTACTCACTTGTTCATAAGTGACATAGAACTTTCTTATATAAAAAGAACAGACAACTTTAAAATTTCGATGTTTTTAGTAAAGCAATTTAAATCTTTACAAGTTTATGTTAGCTTTTTAACATAACTAAAATTTCAAATCCTTAAAGAAAACTTAAATACTGCAACATAAAAAATTGTACAAGTTTTTTAATCGAATGTTAATGACATCAGTGATATTATTTCTTCATCAAGAGCACTTAGTTCATTAGTTTTTTCTGCCAAAAGTTTTGCCTTCTTAGTCTTTAATTCTGAAATTTTTGTAAACAAAGATCTTTTTTTAGCAACCGAGTTGGCTTGAAGAACAAAGCGAAATTTTATCGATTGTGGCGTCGTGATATAAATAAATTTCTTTACAGCTATGTTATTTTTCCCGAAAAGTGCGCTGAAATCCCTGACTTTCCCTGATTCACTGACGCATTTTTCAAATGCCCTGACATTTCCCTGATTTCCCTGACTTGTGGCAACCCTGATAATATACATATATCTATAAATAAAATATACTTACTAGATTCTGGAAATAAATTGCCGGGTCCCTGCCAAATAATTCCGATTATTCTTGGCTTAAGTTTATATGTTTTCGTGTTTCTTTCAGCTTCAAATTGTTCTCCCAATATCTTCAATTTCATCTTCTGTGTTTGTGGCGACTATAACAGAAAAATACGATCTATACCAATTTGTGCAAAGTAAAAATTAATAAAAACATGTACTATTATAATATTCTTACCATATCCTCCATTTCTTCTTCATCAGCCTGCGCTTCTTCCTCGGACAAATATCTAAAGTACCAAATGTTTCTTTTTAAAAGAATTTACATAAGCACACCAAAAATTAAACGATACAAATATCAGGAATTTATAAATAATAAAATTATTAATCGCTTTGGTACAGATTTTATTTTCTGATAGCAAAATAAATTCTTTTAAGCTTTCCAAAATTGTAATTTTTATTGTTATAAAACAATTTCCTTGTAAAGGTTTAACTTTAATAAATAATAATATTTTTATTGTATAATTGAATTATTATTGTATAATCCGAGAGAAAAAAATACTGTATAATTTTTAATAATCAAAAGAGTAAAATACTATATTTTACTGTTTAGGTTATTTAAAAAATTATTTCTGATATATAAAAGATAATTGATAACTTTTAAAATACATTTCGCATTTATAATTTCATAATTTCAAAATACATTTAACCGATGTTGCTTACCCATGAGGAACCATGAACTCATTGTCGACGTCGTATTCATTTTCTTCCGGATTTTCCTCATCTTTCTCATCGTCCGATCCTTTGAGTGATTCGCCAGGTTCTTCCTCTTCCCACTCATCGTCGGAATCAATTTCATATTCGAACAATTTCTGAAAAATAAAAAAAAACATCTTTCTTGCAGATATTGTAAACATACTCAATTTTTTTATACCATGAATATAAAGTTTCATATATAACGATGTTATTCAAAAAAAAAAATCGTTTAATTAATTTTCTCTTACAATATTCTATGATAATTATATCAAGGAATGATACAGTATTATAAGCGAAAAAGACATCACTTTCAAGATTCATGTTGTAAATGAACGCTGTTCTCACATGAATATTTTCGATTAAGGATGTTCGATAAACATCTATATAGCGTATATATTAATATTTATATTAAACAACATATTTTTATAATTTATTTATTTTATGATTTTAATGATTAAAAAAATATTACTTTTTATGATTTATGATCTAGATAGAATAGTATAAACCATCTCACTAAAAAAACTTATTATATCATCTCTAAAAAAAACGATTTAGAATAATCTGTAGTTTTTTCATAGTTTTTTTTTATTATTTTGAAATATCTATCCAATTTCTTAATTTAGACAATTCGATAATGACGTTCTCGTGCTATCATAGTTTTTCATGCATTGTCATCGACTTGTTTATCTTAATTTCGGTTACGACTGCGACGGAATCTCAGTTCGTGAATAAGCAGGACGTCGATATCAAAGCGACTTCCTCGACGAATGATATCTCGGCTTTGCAATCATCTCCGACGTGCTGGCTCGCACGCATTCTCGATTCTTTTAGTTATAAAGTTGTAGTCGGCCACTGAACGTCCTATCAAAATGTAAATGCAAGTTCTTGGACATTTGTTTCTTCTGTAGCAGCCTCGGTGAAGTGTTAAAGTAAATGCTGTTCGATTGTTTTCGCGTAATCACCAATACGAGGAAGTCGAAGATACATCCTCGTGGTAAAAATATTATAATGCGCGAAATTGCTCTTCCCAGTTGAAGTATCGGTCTGTGAAGAATGTGATGTAATTATCATCGCGAAAAGTATGAAGTGTTATATCAATATATTTTCGCACTCGGTGTGAAGGGGAATGTATAATATACCGCTCGTTATTCGCGTGCAACTTAATTGGTAGCTTGTTAAGTAGCTATTTTCACCTCCGCGTTTGCAACAGCGTTCTGGAGTAGCTTGTCGAGTAGCTATTTTTATGATACCTTTTATTTTTATTTCCGACATTTTGGGTTAAGATGAGACACGATTGATACACGTTATCGCATAGCACTTATCAGAGTTGCTCTTTTGAATGACAATAAACGTAGTGCATACAACGAAAAGCGCGATTATTCCAAGGAATATAATTAAAATCAATTAGTTCAAAACGGTAATAAAACGCATCGCGGTAGTGCACTATTCCTTGCCGAAAAGTCGATAAATTTTCCTTCTCCCTTTCTCTCTCTTTCTCTCTCCCTCTTTCCTCTTTGCGCCGCGGCGCGAGATATTCTTTGTTCGATAAATCAACGTCGATTTCATCCCTACGTGAGCATCAATTACAAGATTCTTCTCGAGACATTAATTTATTATCGCGGAGAAACGTAATCTCACGGGCGATTGATACACTCGTCGCTGAGGCGAGTAACACAAAAACAATCGTCGGTTCATCGGTAATAAACAAAAAAAGAAAAGGAGAAAGAGTATATGTTCAAGCAGCTTTTGGCAGCAATACGAAGGTACGTATGACGTCTCGCGAAACGTATAATTTATTATCAAGAATACAAAGTGTCCTAGATTCTGAATCGTATTTCTTTCCAACTGTGGATTCTTTAATCATTTTCAAACCGATTTCACTTTACGAGCACATCGAGACATAGAGATCATTTTTTAATTACAAGGAATTTAAAACAACACAACTTTAAATGTACCTTGCTTTAATGAAATTTTTATTTCAAGAACTATTTAAACAACATTGAAAATTAATAAAATAATATTACGTTAAAAATTTACGATCAGAAAAAGCTAACTGAAAATTATTTAAAAAATGTGCAGTTAAGAAAATTAATATATATCTGAGAGAACAGTATTTGCCATTATAATTTCGTAATAAAAGAATTATGATTTGGAACTTAATTTTTATATTATTGTTTTTGTATTTGTAACTTACTTTAGCTCGTTGCCCCCTTTTATTAATATTTATTTTTATTTTAAGAGCTACTTATTTACATTGTTTTTAATATATATGTATAACTCGCTCAAATATAAAATCATTGTATTATAACAAACGAAATGAGCAAAGGACGTCGTAAGAGTCATACAAAATAAAATTTTTAAAGCGATAGATAAAACATAACTGTCATATATAATAAAATATCATCTTACATAATTCTGAATTATACATTAATAAAACAAAAACATAAATGATTACAAAATTACAATACTACTTAACGTTTCGGCTCTCGGATTGAGCCATCCTCAGAAGTAACATCATGATAATTAAAAGTTATTCGTTAATTGGAAAAATCTAATGTGAACATCTCCATGTCTTATTGTTGACCAAGCGATTGAAAGATCGAATGAGAAAACAAGCTAATAAGTAAAATAAATTAACAAACGATTAATAAATCTCATACTACGTATAAATTGTGTTAAAAAATTATAAAACTGTCTAACCTTTAGAGATGGACATCATTATTTTATCCCCACAAAAACTTAATGTATATCAATAAAAATCAGATCGTCAATATATAAAAATTATAAAAACTGTATTATAGATATTATAATTTAAAATATTAGTAAAATAGCATAATATATAAGTGATAAATAAATCAACATTTTTATTCAATAAATATAATTGCTGCAATTATAGTGAATAAGTATTACTATTTTCTTAAACTCAACTGACTATATTTACATGGTAAAACAATTATAAATATATAATTATCCGAAAAATAACAAATTGTACTTACATTATGGTAATTACAACCATGTTTTTCTTTTAATGTAGAATCGATTAGTACGGAAAATACAAAACGCGTCGAAAATTTGTCGAAATAATTGTGTTATAAGCACTATTATGCTTCCTGAATGTACGTAGATTTTAAAATTTGTCGATTATTGGCACAATTAATAACTGGACCATCCATATTTTTATAATAGCATTCGTCTTTTCTATTTATTATAAATTGATTCGGTGTCACACTCACTCTGATTAGAGGCGTGAAGAATTGAGAACAGATCTCCTGTACTACCACCGAAAGCACCCTCGGCGCGTACGCAAGCATACACGCATAAACGCACGTACGCACGCACACACGAATCCAAGAACAAAACCGCAGTTATCGGCCCGAGGGTGCGATGGATACGCTCAGCGTTGCACCGATGCATGCCGCGAAGCGTCGTATATTATTTACAGCGTGTTGTCGCCCGGCGGGCCATCTGTAATGGCTGTTTTATGCTCCATTAAGATTACGACCGGTGCTTCTCGTTGTGGATACACCATCGTAGATTAGGCAGCCCGACAATCGAATTGATTTATTCCTTGAATATTTGGGGAATACTGCTACACCTCCTACACTTCGTTACCGAGTTAGAGTGCGACGACGATGTCCGCACGGAAATTAGAGACTGGCTCCACGTAAACTGTCATCGCTATTAGCTGTAGAACGATGATTGGTCTCACGAGATTCGTATATATTGTTCATCTAGGAGCTTGTAAAACTGCGACGGGCCAAATGCATTATAAAAAAATATATATATGTTTAAGAGAAGAAGTATCGATATTATTTAAAAAATCGATTAATCAATATAGTTCTTAAAAAAATATGAAAATAGCCTTAAATTTTTCTCTGCGTAAAAGTATTCTAATTGATATCAAATGGCTAGAACTATCAATTATTATTTTCTGTAAAGTGTGACACTTTAATAAGTGTGATCGAGATTTAAATTTCCCAAATGAGATGTTACGCATACAACAGCGTTTCATGCTGGTCATAGTGTGACGCAGGATCTAAAATGCGTCTCTCGCAAGATAAATACGCGCGTTATCACTGAACGCATAATAAATTTCACGCGAAACGGACTATTACCAATCATTGGTTGATACATTAATTACAATACATATGTTAAAAAGCATGTAATGTTACTTTCGAGAATATACATTCGTACACTGTCTACACGATAAAGCAAATCCTTTTTCATAAAATGTTTTATACATGAAAGTAAAATCTACTAAAATTCAACAAATTTTAATGAGAAGATTTAATAAATTTAGGAAAATACAATAATATGTTTGAGACAATTTTCCAATTCATAATTCGAACAGAGGAGTATTTATATCCGATGTTCACAAAAAGTAGCTAAAACGATATTTTAAGTTAGTTTCGATCCAACGTTCAGAGAAAATCAAATCGAACTACCTGACAAGAACCTGCGATGCGATATACGGCAGCCGATGAAAATTGATACCTGATATATAGCGCACGGGTACTGAAAGGGTTAAAGCTGCGCACGTGAGTTATGAAAGCGCAATGTTCGCGGAATATTACGTAGCGTATACGGACGTCAATGTGAGATATCGTTTCTCTGGACACAATAAAACACGAAATCAATCCGATATCCGGATGTGCCAGCGGATTAGGTGTCGGCATAATTGCGGGTATCTCTACTGAGGTATTTCTGTTTCTTTTTCGTTAAAATCTTTATTTAATCATGTTTTCTTACGTACCTTCTGTGCGTTAATCAATTATGTTCCTTGTATATCTCTCTTTTTGTTATATTATTTATTATTATTTATTCTTACGTTATTATTTTATATTATATAAACGTAAAGTGTATCTACCTTTTATTTCCCATTTGAAATCCAGTATTCTTCAAAATTCGATTAATATATTTATTTCTAAAAATCCAGATTAGAAAATTGTTTTAAAAAAGCTTCTTAAAAATATAATACTTAAGAAAGTTTAATCTTTCAAGTGCATTTTGTTAAATGCTTCTTCGGTTCTTATATAATTTGCCGTAAAGATGCTTTGAGAAATTATGTATAACATATAATAACGTATAACTTTCAAGAGAGCTTTTCTCTCTCAGA